TTCTGTTATGGGGCTGGGGATTTAGCTCAGCGGCAAAGCGCCTGCCTGGCAAGCGCAAGGTCGTGAGTTCGGTTCCCGGTACCAGAGAAAAACCAAAAAAAAAAAAAATTTCTGCTAATGAATTATTAATTTTATGAGGTTTACTACACAATGAGTACTTCACAGGAAAATATCAAAAAATGAAGTATTTAATTTTTAATATTTGTTTTTAAACATCAAAATTTTCAACATTGACTTTTTTGGTATATGAAGTGTATTATATGTGCTGCTAAAGCAAGCACAAGTATACAAAAATCTAAAAAATAACAAATAAATTCCTGTATGAACTATAATGAAAATACCAATAGAACTCTATAAAAAAAAGTAATCTTTACTTCAGTTATCACACCTAAAGCAGTCTGCACACGTGCCAACAGTATATTCCATACACACATATTGCTTACACTGACAGCACATGTGTTTTCCTTTCCTGGCCATTTTGTAGGGCATACTTGACATCTTGCTAGTCTTGCTGTTTTGCTAGGAGGTTCTTGTTGTATTATAGAATGTGTAGTTAACAGAAACATAAAATATCAATAAAATAAAGTATTAAATTCTTAATTTGTATTGCACATTTAGAATAAACATCATACTTGCTTACAAAACCTAAAAGATAACATCAGAAATAAATTCCTATATAAACTCCAATGAAAATAGCAATAGAACTCTACAACAAAAATTACCTTTGCTGCAGTTGTCACACCCAGGCAGTCTTCACACATGACAGTTACATGCTCCATGCACATGTCTTGCTTACACTGATAGCATATAGGCTTAGCTTTCCTTTCCTATGTGGCCATTCTTGTCACCTTTCTTGTCTCTCTTGTCTTCATGTTTTGTCAGGCACTTCCTACTGTATTGTAAAACATGCACTTTTATTTCACACATGAAAACTGTCAGGTTCTGTACACAAGTGTCACTTACACCAGTAGCATGTATGTTTTGTTTTCCTGTCCTTTCCTGTAGGCCACGGGTGACATCTTTTTGGTTTCCTTTGGTTTTGTTGCTGTAGTAGGTGCTGGTGATGCTGTGCCTGCCTCTTCCCGTCAGCTCACTTGTATCTCTACAATTTTTTTGCATAGTTCCTTGGGCTGAAACATTCTGTTTTTCTTCTGCTGTAAATGATCTCTTATGAGTTCCATTCCCAGTCTTCTAAGAAAATTTCTCCGTGATATTTTCCACTTGTTTTTTTTTCTTTGTAAACTATCGAACTATTTATGCCACCCATGTGTAGAATCAGGTAAAACACAACCATTGCCCGATGCTTTGTGTTTTGAGTGACATAGTTGCTACGTAACTCATCAACATCTACTCCACCTTTGATTTTGTTACAGAAAGCTACCATCTTAGGCTCCCATTTTGTCAAGGTTTCCCTGTCAGTATTTCCTTTGTGATGCAATGTTGACATCAGCAGTACCAGTTTGTTTTTCTTTGCTATCTATATGAGGCCAGTGTTACATCTTTCTGAAATCCAAAGCTTGTACTATACAATTCTCTGTTTTGCAATTGCAACATTTCCTTTGGAATTTCTTCTTTGTTCCTGTGTACAGTTCCTGCACCTATCAACTTGTGCTCTGTTAGCAAATGTAACCCCCATTGGAAACCGGTAAACCGATTGTCAAATGTCATGTTCTGATCAGTTTGGGAGATGAGAGCAAGTCTGTTCAACTTAAATGTTCTCTGGCAAGTTAACCAGTTTATCTATGCATGATATCCTTTTTGTCTCTTGTGAATTTTTAATTTAAAGCCTATTTATTTAGTCTGATAGAAGTACTATATTGCTGTCCTTGCTCTCCTTTGGTTACCACTTACCAGGAATATTTTTTCTAGTCTTTCACTTTGGCCTATTTGTAACCTTAACTCTAAATTTTCCTTTTTAAATAGATTGATTGTAGTCTGATTTTTGAATGTATCCTGGAATTCCCAGCCATAATTGTCTTATCCAAGTAGTGCAAGAGGCTGTCATCTAGACTTTATGTATTTGTGACCTGCAGTGTTGGAGGTTGTTATTATCTCAGGATCAAGGAATCAATGATGAAATGTTAATTTGTTACATTTTATCTGGTTTTACATATTCTTGAGATATTTTTACCTTTTTCTATTTTAACTATGCAATAGAGAAATTTAAATGGTTTAATAACTTGTTCTGAACATTATTCATTCTATAGCAGTCTTTTCCTTGCAGTTGAAGCTTCTTTGTGATTCTGACATACACACTGTTGCTCAGAGTATTGTTGGGAGACTTTTTTCAGACTTTTTAAGCATTGGTGAGGGACTTTGATTCAGGAACAAGGCATATGCAAAAAGCAATTCTAATAGCCAATTCATGACGCACTCAAAATAGAAAAGTTTTTAGATCAATGATAGTCCTATAATTTTTAAACATAATAATATGATGTTATGGGGAATTTCAATTTTTATTTACTAGGGAACTCTGGTCATTGAGTAAATAGCAATAAATTATTTTATTAGCAAGGTAAAACTTTTTTTAAAAAACTTTTTTGTTCTTACAGGCAAAGCTAACACTGAGTAAATAAATCTTCTATTTCTAATTTAACTTTATTTTTTATTAGTACATATTTATCATACTTTTTTTTTTTATTAATCTTTTTGAAATAGGGTCTCATTATGCAGTTCAGGCTGACCTTGAGCTCACTTTGTAGCCCAGGCTCGCCTTGAACTTGCAACAATCCTCCTGCCTTAGCCTCCAAGTGCTGGGATTACAGGCGTGCGCCACCATGCCCGGCTTTATCATACATATTGATCACGTTTATCATAGGGAATTTGTACGTGTATGTAATATATCTTCATTTTTTTTTCCTATTCCTCTTCTCTTCCTTCAGCTTTTCCCCTTCCTATTTACACAAGCTTTGTTTCCATTTTTTCCCTTCCATTCTTTTTTTCCCTTTTCCCTTCCATTCCTCCCTTCTTCCCCCTTCCTTCTCCCCTTCCCATTTGAACAGGTTTTTCCTACTTCCTAATATCTAGCCTCCATTATGTGTCTGATTTATTTCACTTAAGATTATGGTCTTTTCCTACAAATGATTCAAGTTTATCTTTCTTTTGAGTAAATAAATTGTGTAAAAGTTGATTAATTTCTGTTCTTCGAAGAATTTTGGAGGGTTTCTTGGTACTTCACTACATTGTAATAAATGGTCATCACTGCAGAGAACTCCTGGCATAGAACAAGTGAATAAAACAATTTGACTTAAATTATCATCATCTCTACTACTGGCTTTTGTCTTTTTCATTTATTCATCTCTTTTGTATTAATGTCTACTTCTTTGTATTTGCAATAATTGTCTAACTTCCTTGAAAATGTTTTTTATTAACAAAACATAAAAAATAATAAAGCTATAAGTGTGTATTTCTAAGCATTGTCTTCGCTGCATTCCACACATTTTGAGTTGTGAATGCTTTGCTTATCGTTTGTAGCTGAATATTACGTTCATTCTATTTTCCTGTCTAATCTGTATTGTTTAGGAATATGCATTTTAGTGTTGAACTTTTTTTCCACTGCTGCATTATTTTAGATCTAGCGTTCTATTGTTAGAATGTGTTCAGTATTTTTTGAAAATTGCTTAAACTTCTTTTGTAATTCAGTCCATAGTTATTTCTATAAATATTCCATTTGTACCTGTGTGTTTTCTACTTGTCATCTGAGTCCCTGATTCCATATTCAGTTTGGACTATTAATGCTGATAAAAGTTTGAAACCTTGAGCTTATCTGCTCATGATGGATTGACAGCTAGTGGTCAACTTATACCACCCAGTTCAGCTATATCGGTGTGGTGCTGGGTGTGGGAGGCCCACTTAAGGATTGTTGCCAGCAGCATAAAAGGAGAACTGGAGGGGAAGATGGTGCTGTTGATTCTTCTGGAGAAGAATCAACATATTGACTTTGTCATATTGTCATATTGACTTTCCTTATATGAACTCACCTGTTCTCATCGTGGAGGGGCTCAGGTCCTCGCTGTTGCTGAGGATGGCTGTGGTTCTCTTCAGGGGAGCTCTGGTCCTTACCTTGAGTGTCGCTTCCTGGCTCCAGTGCAGATCCCTCAGCCTGCTGGCCCGGATCCTTCATCCCACTGCCACAGACTTTCTAGCTTCCACCACAGACCTTTGGGCCTTCCCAGCGCAGGTCCTTGAAATAGACTTGCATGAGACATTGTCGTGGGCTCTGGGCCTCCAGTTGGACTTGTGGGAGCATTGCCATGGGCTCTTGGTCTTCAGCTGGACTCGTGTAGGATACTGCCATGGGACTCAGGCCCTCGGCTGAGTTCTTTGGGTACCTACTGGGTATCTGCTGTGTGGACAGATATCCCACGAACTTTCACATTTGACTCCTGGAGTGAATATTATAAAATAATCCTGTAAATTATGTGTCCTGTATTAATTCCTTTTTCTTGCAAACCGTGACTACAACACTGCCTGTACCGTTAGAATCATTTTAAAGAATCAAGTAAGGACTGTTTAGTTAAGGATATAAAGGCATTTTTTCTTACGCTTCAAAAAAGAACTTAAAATTCATCAGTTTTAAGGGTTGGAGGTATAAATTGGTGGTAGAGCACATGCTTAGAAAGCTCTGGGTTTAATCCCTCATACCACAAAACAAGTACATACTCAAATTTTAAAAGAAGAAACTTTTTTCTGCTTTTGAAATTACTAGGATAGCAATAGAAGCAGTAGTAGTGTTGATGGTAATAGTAATGGTAGCAGCAACTGCTGCTAACATTTATTGGGCTCTTAACTGTGTGCCAGGCACCATTCAAACCTCTTTAGATCTGTTAATGAATTTAACCTCATAACAGCTCTTGAGATATTGCTCACCTCGTTTTATAGGTGAGAAGAGACACCGAAAGTTTAATGTTTGCCCGAGTTACATTGTAGTCATACTGGCTTTAAACAAGGTGAGTTTGTTCAGCTGAATACACACAAATTAAATTTTTTCTTGTTTTCAGTTACTAGAAAAATTAAAAGAACGCTGGCTCTACACTGGTTTATGGCATAATCTGGAATTGGTGAAGACGGTCATTGTAGAACCCCAAGGAGGAGAAAAAACTAATTTTGATGAATTACTGCAGGTGTACTATGATGCAGTCAAGTACAGGGGAGAGAAAGGTAATTTGAAATTATTTCATAGTCAGTGAGGGAATGTTTTTTATTATGAAGTAAAAAAGTTGTTATTAGAATTTCATTTATATTCTTTTGTAAGTTGCACTTAAGAGAAAAATTATATTTTATAATCTTAGATGAAAAGAAAGTCAAGATTCTTTTGTTTGATGTTGTCTTCCTATAATTGATCTTTAAGAAACAGTATGCATTCAGGTATTATCCCACAGTTTTCCTTATACCACCTGAACTATTTTGTATAAGAAGGTAGTTGGGATATGTATGAATATCTTCCTTCTAGCTAAAAAGGACATATATTGATGTAAATAATATACTGTATTAAAAATGACAAACTTGAGTTTCCAAAACATACTGAGGACTCAATTTCCAGATTACAGATTGTCTGTAGAGCTGATGTGAAGGACTAATAGCAATAACTTAGGAACAGTGCAACAAAGAAGACACTGTAACATAATTGTTGATATCCTTTTAATGATGAGTATAAATTGTGGTCTGTGTATTTTAACTGCTTCTCAATATAATATTGATTTAATCTGATAGTAGTACAAATCAGTTACTTAAGTTTTTTGAGAGTTATTCTTTGGTGATAAAGGTAATGATGGTAACGTCCGTGTTTGGGTTCATGCTTGATCAGTTCGTGCAGATTGCTACTCTGGTGTGCTGTTAGCGTAGAAGTTACCTGGGAGATGCACAGTTCAAAAATTGGTGTGGTCTGTAATTCCTTACAATTTTGTTTCCTTTACTTAAAGACAAAGAACTTTTAAAACTATATCTTAGTGTTTATTTTATTTTAAATTTTTGTTAATATGAGTACTTTCAATTAGTCGTTTATAAAGTAACCAGAGGAAGCAGCTTCTGAGAATTTTGAGTGTGCTCTTTAAAATATTTACTTTCTGTTGTTTTAAGATGGAGCCCTTCTTGTAGCAGTTTGTCGTGGTAAAGTGAGTGAGGGTCTGGATTTCTCAGATGACAATGCCCGTGCGGTCATAACGATAGGAATTCCTTTTCCAAACGTGAAAGATCTGCAGGTAGGCCACCAAGCCTCAAAAAATTGTATTATCGTAGAAGTCATTGGTTTAGTGTAAAATTAATTACTCTTTTTTTCTTGAATCCTTAGACATTTTATATCTATGGAGAATCTAAATGAATGAGAAGAGATTAGAGAAAAGGTTTCTTTTATTTTTAACTTACATTGTCTTTTCCTTAACAGGAGTAGTTTCAAAGTGTGGTCCTGGGCAGGAGCATCAATATCCCTTGGGAACTTGATAGAAATACAGATTTCAGGCTCAATTCAAACCTACCTGATCAGAAATGCTTGATGTGGAGCCCTAACATTTGTGTATTATCAAGTTCTTAGCTACACAGCCTCATAGTTTCTCCACAGAATTGTATGGTCCAGTCTCCTAACTCCCTTCTTTATAATGCAATAACCTGCAGATTTCGTAATTTTAGCTGCTTAAATGTTTGATCTCTTTCACTTCAGCTAGTTAGGACCTCTGCATTCTGTTTGTACTTTAGTATTACATACTGTGGTTGTGAAATTATACCACATAAGAGTTCTGGAAAAACGGAGTTTACCTAATGAATTCTCCTAAGCTCCAGAATTACAGTCTTGTGCAACTTAGTGTCTATTTCCTGAAAGCAGTTGTTCTACTTTGTTTTCCTATTCCTTATAATAAGAGAGTTATTTCCAAACCACTTACTTCATCTTTGCCAAAAAGAGTTTTATCTCATTATCACAGCTTATTTCTCCAACATTATATTTATAAAAATGATTTACAGTAGTAATTTAAAACCTGAGGTAAAGGTTTGGACATAGTGGCACATGCCTGTAATCCTAGCACTCTGGAGGCTGAGGCAGGAGGATCACCATGAGTTCAAGCCAGTCTGGTCTACTTGAAGGCCAGCCTGCACCACATTGCAAAGCCCTGTCTCAAAAACCCTAAAATACCTCTGAGTTGACATAATAGAGTTTTCTGGGGAAACGGAGCCAGGAGAGAGACAGAGACAGGGACAGATTGAGATTTCAAGATTGGCTCACATGATCATGGAGACTGAAAAGTTTCACAGCAGCCATTTGCAAGTTGATTTTGTGACTTATTCCATGAAGCCAGAGTGCAAGTCCTGGAGTCCAGAGGCCAAAGAATCTGCAGTCTCTTATCCAAGAGCAGCAGTGGCAGAAAAAATATCAGTTCCAGAAGGAAGAGCAAGAAACAGGGAGGGAAGGATAGAGGGACAGAGGGAAGAAAAGAGAGACAAGGGAGAGAATCTGAATTCTCCTTTTGCTTTTCTTTTTCTTTCCTAGTCCTTAGCAAATTGAATGGTGCTGTCCACATTCAGGCCCAGTCTTCTGCACTTGTGGACCCATAAGCCAATAATTTCCAGAAATAGCCTCACAGACACACCCAGAAGAGGGTTTACAGATGCTGTGGGCATCCCTCAGAGTAGTCAAGGACACCCAAAATTGACTACCATAGTTGATGTTATCTTTCATCAGAGAGGATTTTATTTCCTTTTTTACAGGCACTTGAAACTGCTAGCAATCAGACACTGAAACTTGAATTGTTTTGGCCCTTAAGCTGACCCATTGATTATAACCCTTATCTTTTCTCCCGGTGTACAACCAGGTTGCATATCAAAGTGAGAATTCTTTCAGTGGGATTGATGAGGCATTACGAATTATATAATTTTATTTTTTTTTCTTTAGGTGATGCAGTCTTTGGGTAGCATTAACAGTAATAACCAATATTTCCACATTAGCCCCTACTCCTCCCTTATCTGTGGATCTCTTTCAAAATTTCTGAAAGTCCTCTGGAGATGTGTCCCCTTGTGATTCCTAACCTTTCTGCCATTCCTGAGTTTGGTGCCTTTTACTAGCTTTCTTTGGGTACCATTGCCACCACGAAGGACACTGATGTCAGGTGCTGGGCTCTGCCTCCTGTGTTAAAATGGTTGATGCTGCCTTGACTGTTGCTGTTGATGGAACAGTGGACATCTACTCCAGGAAACCATTGTGTTCATTATCAACAGTATTAGTGTGACACCCTGCAGAAGCTGAGTGCTGCCGCTGTCACTGCGCTTGGCACTGGTCCTATAGCCTGTTGCTATGTTTTCACCCTGGTCTTACCTTGTTGCACTCGAGGTACTTTGTTAAACTAGGCAGATTCCCTTTCCCCTCTTTACACTGCATCTGCCTCCAAAATGTTTAATCTTTTTCCCATAAGACCAGTTTTTCAGCTTTTGCTCATATTCCTTGTAGTTCTTAGATCTACACATGAGTTCTTGAGAGCTGGAAAAGAAGATAAACTTGATGCCTCACATTAGGCTGTACTAAATACTATACTTACAGGGTAGCAAGGCCTGAAAGAATTCATATCAAACTTGGGATATTGATTCCATTAGAGAAGAGAAGAAGGGGATGATATTAGAAATAGTTATCAGGAGGTACTTTTAACTTTTCCATAATTTTTATCTAGATATTTATTGTTTGTTATTTTCAAAAATCCTTTTTTTTTTTTTTTTTTTTTTGGTTTTTCTCTGGTACCAGGAACCAAACTCACAACCTTGCGCTTGCCAGGCAGGTGCTTTGCCGCTGAGCTAAATCCCCAGCCCCTCAAAAATTCTTAAAACATGAGTTTTCTTGTTTTGTTTTGTTTTGATACCGGGAATCGAACTCATGACCTTGCACTTGCCAGGCAGGTGCTTGTGCCACCGCGCTATATCCCTGGCTTATGAGATGTATTTCTATAGAATATTACATTTGTCTTCTATTTTCTTTGCCTTTATCCTAACAGCTATGATTCTGGGCATTGTTATTATACCAAACTTCAGTTTTCAATGCTTTCTTTTAGTCAACTTCCGCATCACTTTGACAAAACATCTGAGGTAATCATCCTGTAAGGAGGAAAAGTTTATTTTGGCTCATAATTTCAGAGGGGTTAGTCAGTGGTTAGCCTTGTTGACTTCAGGCTTATGATGGGAGAGAACCTCATGGCCAGGAGCACGTGGCTGAGGAAACTGCTCACTGGGAAGCAACAAGAGGGAAGGGCTTCGGTCCAATGTCCCCTTCAAGAATTTGCCCCCAGTGCTCTAACTCCTTCCTCTAGGCCCTGTGTCCTAAATGTTCTTCCACCTCCCAGTGGCACTGCAGACTGGAAACCAAGCCTTTAACAGCTAGGCCTTTGGGGGATATTTATTTAAACCATAATACTTTGCTGACAATAAATCCCTACTATGGAACATCTCAGTCTGTCATGAAAAAAGACACATGGTGACCTGCTCTGACATTCCTGTCATGATCCTACCTGTCATAGTTCTGCTTATACAATTTCCAATGGCTCAAGTGCATAAAATAGCAAAGTACATGTCAGGGAATTCTGAATGGGGAGGAGGAGGGTGGTTCTAGAAGAATTTTTTAAGTGCCTCCCAAAAGAGGTAAGTAGGATAGACCAAAGAGTGGTCTGTGTTACAGAGATAAGAGAGAAATTCTTTATTAGCAATACTGAATGTAAGGGAAGTAAATTTCTTATAGCCATAGATCTGGATCTATTCTTCCTGTGTAGCAGTTCTAAAATTTAGTGAGTTAAAACATTAGCCATTATTATAGGTCATACATCTGTGGAGTGGCTGAACAACACAAGTTATTGAAAATATTTGTGTGTCTGTGGATATATAAATGTTTCAGATTTTAATAATGTCTAATCTAGCTTTTGGTGGTGGTTGTTACTTTTGCTTTTGGTGTCATACATAGGAAACCATAGGAAAATCCAAGATTGTGAAAATTTGCCCCTAATATTTTCTTTGAAAGGTTTTTATAGTTTTTCTTTAATTTTGGTATTTGATCCATTTGAGTAAATTTTCTATATGATGTAATGTAAGGCTCTGACTTTCTTATATCCAAAGTGAATCTGTTATAGACAGCATTTTTAGGAGGATGTGTTTTTCAATCCATTCTGCCAATCTTTGCCTTTCAGTTAGAGTTTAATTCATGTATGCATAAAGTACTGATAGGGAAGGACTTTTATTTCTGCCATTAAGGAGTTTGTTTTCTGTGAGTTGTGTACTTGTTATTTCTCAATTCCATTATCATCATTATTTATTTTAGTTGATTTATAGTACACTACAGGTTGAATATCTCTTATCAAAAATGCTTGGGATCAGAAATGTTTGCGATCTGGGAGTTTCTCAAATGTTGGGACATTTCTACAGACTGTACTGATTGAGTGTCCCTAATCTGAAAATCTCAAATCTAGAATGCTCCAGACTTTTTGAGGTTCATGTCAATGGGCATTTTCAGATTTCAGACTGTCACATTAGAGATCCTAACCTATGTTTTGATTCTCTTCTTCCCTTTTATATGCATTTTTTAGATTTTTATTTTCAGTGTTTATGTGGTACCATCTTACCCTCCATTCTTTTTATATTGTTATTGTCACAGACTGTATATGTTGTGTGCCCATTAGCATAATTATAGTTACTGTTTTATGCAGTTGCTTCTTGAGCGATACAGGAAAAAAAGGAGGAGGGAAAAAAAGAGGAGTTGCAAACCAAAAGTATAATAATGCTGACTGTTGTATTTATCTCCATAGTTGCCTTCACCAGTGTTCTTTATTACTTCCTAAAGCACATGCTACCCGGCCTTTATTGCATTATATTATACTGTTTATACATATGTTTTATAACTGTTAGGTAGTATTCCTTAACGATAGGAACAATTTCTTAAGGATCTTTTGGATCTACAATTGAAATACTGCCTTTGAACATAGTGTTCAATAATTGTTATTTTAATTATCATTTGAATGTAGGGTTAATATAAGCTTATTCAATTAAGATTGCACTTGGTTTTGTGTTAAAATCTCCATTCCTAGAGACTTTAAGACGTAATACTAATACTAATACTAATAACTAAATGATAATGAACAGATGGTAGTAAACATTAATATGGCTCATAAGGAAGCAATACAATGTGTTATTGGGGTCATAAGTCATTAAAGGGGTTTTAGGAGGGAACACTCCATCCCGAAGAGCC